TTTTTTTTTTTTCCACAGATTCTGTAATTACACTCCTGAACTATCACATAACTCCTGCGAACAAAGGCCGGACCAGCACTGTATTATCAATTCATTTAATTGTGCATTTCAATGACAGACACACATTGCATTAGAGTATCTTCTAGCCAAACGCTGCCAATAAGTAACTGAGCTGATGGCAGCTTTGATTTCACAGAACTTATTTGCTACCTGCCAGATGATCATGAAAAGGTAGACTCCAGCCACTCTTTGAAACGAAGACTTCGGGTCAAACCAGCGAACATAGGTCCAGCTGGCTGGGGTGAACTGTAACACAGCTCTCTTGATTTTCCCTGTGGTCGTGTGAATGTCCCTAGAAAAAGAGAAGACTGGGGTGAAGGCAAGAAAGATGCAAGGGGGAAAAAAGCAATATCTGTGTTACTGAGGTTCCAGAACAGACACTTATTCCCTGGACAGCAAAGGAAACACACACACACACACAATAATCACATTTAGGAATATGTGCTATCCAGTAATATCACTATGAGATGGAATTTAATATTTACAGTAAATACACAGCACCATTAGCAAATGCAAATTACATATTATTTCTATAACATAGACATTTACACATGCAAAGTAAACAGTTTTCCAAGAAATTGAATTTAATGTTATAACATAAAGCTTGATAAGCATAATATTAAATTTAGACCTACTTGAAGCTTGCCCAGTGATAGGTCCTCATCTCCAAGAAACGACAAACTACCATGCCCAACCAGATGCCACCCCCGTTACAAAGCAGGATGTCCAAAATGACTTGATCCCACCAGCATTCAGCAAAATTAGGCAGAAGATGCATGAAGAAGAGCTACAGAACACAGCAAAAAAGATTCTGGGTGAGGAACAGCATTCCTATAAAACTCATATATAAAGTTACTTTTTCAGAACACACATAAAAATTAGCTTTTCAGTAAACATCGATAGTTCACGGACACGCGCGACCCCCACTGAAGTGCCCTGAAAATCCTTCCAGGATTTTGAGATGTTTCGAGATGTTTCCGTCGGCTCCCTGTTCCCTATGGGGGCTGTGCAGCACAGAAGGCTTTAGTGCAGCTTTTGGCATCTCCGAGGACATGTGGGAGGGTCACAGAAATGCATCAAGCAAGAAAAAAGTTGCAGATTTGAGAGGAGTGAGGGGATTTTGTGCCCTTTTTTTTCCCCTCCTCAAATTAGTCTTATGAAGCTTGTTTTCTAAACCAGCAACAACATGTGACAGGTAGGCCATGTGTACATTTAACAACTGCCAGTACTAAAGCACGCTGAAATTCAAGACTTAAAGCTTGTTCAAATTTAATGTACATTTCAACACTTTCTTTCATTCACCATTTTAAAGGAATTTTGTGACTCAGAGTCATCAGCATTTCAGACAAAACCAGTTTTGCTTTGCTGCCACCCTTGATTATCAGTGGCTTAAGGGGATGCTCCGCTCTCGCGTCAATTTGGTCTCTTGTAAGCACTAACTGTGATGAAGATACTGATAATGAGGCCAGAAGCAAACCAACACCATGTTGCAAAGTAGCCACCATCTGGATCCAGCTTCACATATTCAGCCCTTTAAAGATTTCCTCTGGAGAGGACACAAATCATTTGCTTTTGAAGCCATCTGTTGCTTTCTGAACTTAATGCTCACCTTAGCTCACCATGAAGCACCAGTAAATCAATTAAAAGTATCTGAAAAGTGGTGAGTTCATGTTTCTGACAGAGTGGAGGAGGCTGACTGCTCAGAGGGCCATAGTTAAGGCCCCAGAAATGGATTCAGCTCCCTGTTTTCTCTATTCCACAAGGAGGAAAAACAAAACAAAAAAGTAATTCCCAAACTAGAGATTAAAGAGTTAGCTGTGTATTGGAAACCAAAAGGCCTTTATGTTTTGAAGGCCCCCTTCAAAACACTCATGAAGTTGCATAACACATCTGGAACACCATGAGGCAGCAATGTGCCCTCGTGGCCAAGAAGGCCAATGGGAACCTGGGGTGCATTAAGAAGAGCATCTCCAGCAGGTCGAGGGAGGGGATCCGATCCTCTCTGTGGTGGCTCATTGCCACCAATGTATTGTGTCCAGTTCTGGGCTCCACAGTACAAGAGGGATGTGGAGCTGCTCAAAGAGTCCAGCACAGGGCTACAGGGATGATCAGGGGCCTGGAACATCTGCCCTGTGAGGAGAGGCTGAGGGAGCTGGGCCTGTTCAGCCTAGGGAAGAGAAGGCTGAGAGGGGATCTAATCAGTGTCTATAAGTACCTCAAGGGAGGGAGTGCAGAGGACGGTGCTGGTCTCTTTTCAGTGGTGGCCACTGGTAGGACTAGAGGAAATGGCCGGAAACTGAAACATCCAAAATTCCATAGGAACTTAAGGAAAAATTTCTTAACAGTGAGGGTGACAGAGCCCTGGACCAGGCTGCCCAGAGAGGTTGTGGAGTCTCCTTCTCCGGACATCTTCAAAACCCGCTTGGACGCAGTCCTGTGCCACGTGCTCTAGGTGACCCTGCGTGTGCAGGGGGGTTGGACTAGATGACCTCTAGAGGTCCCTTCCAACCTTAAGCATTCTATGATTCTATGAAGAGAATTCCTGTCTATCAGGCAGTAGTAGAAAAGAAGGAAAAAAGGGTCTAGTGTTAGACGAGAGGTATGGCATCTTTCCCTTTTGCTGAGAGAAAGAAGAGATGATTTCTCAGACAGCTAATAGTAATTATCATTGGCTTTTTCTTCTTGCGTTCATTTTTATCTTGTGGTCTTTAAATCTGTAAATAATGCCTAGAGCCAAACATCTTGAAAACATTAGGGCTGAAATTTCCCTAGGTAGACAACATTTTGTGATGCTAATAGTTATAATTTTGCTTCGTTTTTATTGAATTTCTTATTCTCTGTTTCTTCTGGGTGCAGTTTTTATCTGCTCGAGTTCTGTGGTGCTTTTGTCACATCTCAGCCATAGGATGTTGCTAACTATAACCCTAACTGTGAATATTCACCTTGTCCTGCCTATTCATAGCCCAAGTATCTTGGTACACTTGCCTTCCTTATGCAGTTTTACCCTTGGTAGAAGATACTGAGAATGTTTTTTCATTTTCTTAGACAGACAATATTTCTTCAGCGCTAGGCATTGGCATGGTGAGCTTTGTGAGTGATATAGTTAGAGAGCATAGCTCTATGTAAATATTCAACTTAAGTGAGATATCCATGTCTACCAGGCTGCGTAACAATCTAGCAGATTATGTGACTACCAGTGATGACTGGACTTTCACTTGCTTTCTTGCTCTTTATTATGCATTCTTTTAAGAAAGGCAGTGCTTGGTGGAGCTACATTTGTGTATGGCGCATGGATAAAGGCACAGCTAGCTGAGAAAAACAGTCATTGCTGCCTTTGCTCCCAATTACATGCTACAAATGCATGAGTAGTAGTAGGTGCTATAATAGAAGTTGGGGGGGGGAGTCTTGTGCTAAATATATGTTTTTGTATGACTGTCATTTTTTTTCTACACCATCTACAGCTCTTCCTTTGTATTTGGTTTATGTCTTAACTAGCGATGTGGGTGCTGTGCATAGTCACAATCCAGTAACTCTTTTCAGAGTTGATCAGTGCACCTAACACATGCATGCTGATCTGTTGTCTCCTGAGATTCAACTTCTGCTGACAATATACTTTCAAATAGGACACTTTTCAGGATGCAGAAATATTTTTTGATCATTCCTGGCAATCTTTTCTGTTTCTGTTTGCTTTGGGCTTCCACTGTCATTATCACATAGAGCATGGAGCTACTTTTGCTCTATTACAACTCAGTGTCTATTATTTTATTTTTTCCTACTTGTATTCAACCATTAGCAAAACTGTTGTCTCTCTTGGTATCCAATCAGCACTAATGTCCCCTTTCGTAACTACCAGCCTAAGGATTAGAATTTAGTTTGTTATACTCATTATTATTGTTTTCTTAATTCACACTTTGGGGAAGAATGACTTGAGCTGAAATCCCATATTTGTAGGAGCCAACTTATTTGCAACATGATGTGCTATGCAATTACCATGTGCTGTGCAAAGGCAGCCAAGACAGTGCAACTTGTAGGCTTTGTTTCCTCATCCACATAGATTGGATGAGAAAGCCTCTCAGTACGTAGCTCTTAAAAGTAAAATAATGCAGATGTCTGAATATTGACTCTGTATCTGTATCAGTAGTTCCCAGCATTGGCCTGTGAATGGCAATAAAGGTGAATCCTTTGTTGAAGAACTCACTGTATTTTTCAATCCTGGGGCACAGACTAGAGAACAAAATTTTAGAAATACGAATGTGCAGAATGGGACCAGAGCAGTTTTGGGGTGACACTATAGCCACTATGTTAGGTGACACTATAGCGTACCGCTGACATTTGTTGGAAGAAAGAGAGGGAGGAAGGATATGTAGACTAGAGGTTAGGGCCATCACCTCTGGTAGATAAGTCCCTGTCTCATTTTAGGTTCACCAGTCCCTGAATCTAAGACTCCCTTATGGCTTCTCTCGGAGTCATGTTCTGTCCCATGCTCTGTGAATTCAAAATTGTGCTATCTTAGTATCGCAAACAAGGGCAGAACGTCCACCTAGCAAGACTGGCCTCTAGTGTTGTGCTTAAAGCACTGGGAAATGGCAATTCCATGTTTAAACACCTTGGGGATGGAGCAAGAACTGAACCCAGTTTTCCTTTTTACTCAGATGAGTGTTATAGTTCCCCAACAGTGATCCTCCCAAGCCTGTTTTTCTGGCTCTGATATTTTTGCCAATAAATAGCAGCTGCAAATACACTTTGAGGAGTCCCCTTTGTGCAGGATGGGCATGTTCTGGGATGGTGTACATGGCAGGAAAATGGCTTGTTCCTGGATCTCCAGCTACTCACACTAGATCTTGTCTGGGCAAATACTGACGTAGAAGTCTGATGTGTGGGTGATGACTGAGTAGGGTCTTCTCTAAATTTCAGTTTTGGGTTCACTGGCTTTCTTGTGCTTTGCACTATTTCTTTTAAAAACAATGTAAACAATGTCTTTAATTTAGACCTTGTCATATTTTACAAAATGAAAGGTAGATTTTCAGCTTCGAAAGGAATAACATTTGCTGTGGGACAGTTTCTGATGAAAAGAGTGGTAATGTGTGTATTGATTTCTCCGTCAACTATTTGTACATTATGTTCAGCAAATCCTAACAATGCCTGTGAAAATTCAAGCGGAAAAGACTTGGACCTGTCTGTACTCTGCCAGCGTGACTGCTGCGTGTGGCATATGGGAAGCAGAAGCCTGGAATCGATAGGCATCTCCTGTTAAAGAGCTGAGGAGTTTTTTCTTCCAAAACAGAGGCTTGCTGGTAGTGTAGCAGTGACTAGGGCAGAGCTGCCTCTTTGGCAGAATAGCAGGCTCTGGAGCAGACGTCTTCCAGATTGGTGTCTCTTTTGTAAGCGTACGAAGAGTTGGCAACCCATTTTTCTTTCTTTAGATGGGGCTGCCTTCCCCATCCCATCCCTGAAATACACATCATCTCTCAAAATTTCTTGGCTATAAATCTGTAGTGTCTGAAGGGAGAGTGCAGAGAACTGAATATGCTGCCTAGGGAAGACTGGGCTGATCTAATGAGTGGTTCCAAGCTTGTCCCAAGAATCGGTTTATGTCCCAGGATATATCCATGCCGTCATGGCCTGGAGCTGGAGGAGCCTATGCAGCCCTGGTGGTTTCTGCATTGCAGGCCTCCTCGTGACAGTAGTTTTCAAGTATTCTTCTTGCAGTGGGAAGAATTGTTTTGTTGACTGTTGAGTCTGATAAGGGAGTGCTCATTGCTGCAGCACAACTCCAGCCTAGGACTATTTAAGTGGAGCTTTATGTATGGAGTG